CACCCCGTGCTGTTTCTATTTCTTCATGAACACTTGATTACTGGTAATAGGAGAATACTCAAACCAGTAAAACTCCACTGGGTTTTCCTGGTTACATACAACTCACCACACAGCTTGCAGTGTTTCACTTGGCTTGGCAGGACGCTCGTCTCTTCGGTTATTTTTTTTGCTGGTGGGGCGCAGGGAGGAGAGGGAGACACCTCAGTGTTGCACGTTACCTTAGCGCTACATTAGTGGCGGCAGTTGTTGACCAGAGTGGGGGACTGCGGTAAAGCCTCCCCCGGATTCAAAAACATTACTGTCGCTCGAATCCAGAGCACTTAATAACAACCTTTACATCTGGGCTGTATTTGCACCGTTGTCTATGGCCCCTGTTTAAAGACGAATAACGTACAAAAAAAGCAACATTTCACCTGGAAATTCAGCTGTGTTGTTTTTACCATTAACATCAGCTTTAATGCACTTTAACCTGAACATCTTCATTTCTGCCACTTCCAGTTCTTTCTCCGGTCTTTTTGCCAGTGCCTCAGTCTCCAGATCAAACAACACAGCTGGTCTCACCACTGTCTTGTAAACTTTTCCTTTGACCTTTAGACTTTTTCACCATTTTGTTGCAAATCACTCCTGAAACTTTTCTCCACCCACTCCATCCTGCCTGGACTCTTTTTCACCTAATGAAGTTAAAATTTTCATTTTAGAACATGAAGCTTTTTACTCAGATTTTGGTCTACCTTTGGATTTGGGGGAGGTAATGACATCACAACATGCGCACCATAAACATCCACAAAGGGGATTTTAAATAATCCCAAGTTACTTATTTTCTATATTAACATGTTATGCTATGCTGTTGTCACTAACAAGTATGAGTATTTTAACAATTGTAGGAATGATCCATTTTCTTCACGAACAAAGGTGTTTTTCAAAACTGTGAGGAAAATATCTTAAGTTGTGAAATATGTGCTTTCATTTATTTTTAAACTTTTATTTCTTCTGTTGCAGATGAGTTGTGCCACCATCAAACAGATGTGATATCTCAGTGAAGGTGTGGACCGATCTAAATCCCAGGGCCAACATTACTTTTCTTCACTGCACACGAAGATCCACAACTAGATTTTATTTTCTTTTGTCTGTTTGAGTTGCTATAACCCGACAGTTAATGTACCTGTCTAATATGGATACACTTTCCCAGGATTCAATTCTTGAGTGCCAGATTTGCTTTAACTACTACAGCCCCCGGCGGCGGCCTAAACTCCTGGATTGCCGACACACGTGTTGCTCGGTGTGTTTGACTCAAATGCGCAGCACCCAAAAGGAGATCCGATGTCCCTGGTGCCGCAATGTCACCAGACTTCCTCCTGGCTTTTCTGTCTCTCAGCTCCCGGATGACCCGGATATCATCACAGTCATCGCCATTCCTCATGCCTCTGAACACACACCCGTCTTCATCCGCCTCCCCAGTAATGGCTGCTACATGCTGCCCCTGTCTGTCACTAAGGAGCGGGCACTTGGTCTGCCCGGGGATCTGGGATGTCGCTTCCTGCCTGGGGGCCAGCAAAAAGGGGTGACCGTGGTGACCATGCCCGAGCAGCAGCCTCTGGGTCTGGCTGTGGGTCTGGAGGGTGTGGGGCTGGATGGAGGTGAAGGGGAGAGGAGGATTACTGGTCCGGTGGGCGGAGGAAAGGGTTCTACGTGGTCTGGTGTGTGCACAGTAATTTTGGTGGCATGTGTGCTGCTCTTCCTTCTGGGAATTGTGCTACACAACATGTCCTGCATCTCCAAACGATTCACTGTCATTTCTTGCGGCTGAAGGACGCTGTTCTAAATCTCGTGGACTCCACCAGTTGGCCCAGCTTCTCCTCTGAGATGGAGTCTTCTGAGGAGAAGGGACTAAACTCACATTATGGGCATTTCAGGAACAACAGAGCCAAGCAAAATGACTCGAATAATGACAAAGAGGGCAAAAACAGATCTGCAAAGTGATCTGCCATTGTGTGTCTCTATTTCTTATTTTGGGGACTGGAATTTAAATGTAAACCTGATTTTGAGTTTTCACTTCCTTCCCATCCAACAGAACTCTGCTGGCCCTGAGAACTCCCACCCCTCAATGTTCTTTATGTTCACTGAAAGATATCTATGATCATCACTTCAGATAGGTCTTTGAACAGCTGATTGTGTTCACGTATGAACTAGTCTGACGATGTTTAATCTGTGGTTAGTAGAAGTTCATCTGTTATCATAGTGTTCAGCTCAGAGCGTTGTGTCTTCAGCTGCTCTGGCAGCTCCGAACTCCAGTATTCAGATTTTGAAGACGTTAACTCTGCAGGATATACACATTACTGAGAATGTTATTTTGTGGAACAAAATTGACTTTAATTTAAGTTTCTTAGTCAAAGAGCTTGTTGAAATGACTATAAGTGAAATGTAATGTTCAACCATACCAGTATGTACAGTAGTACGGTTGACCTGCACACACGTAGTACTGAATTGCTTTAGCGTAGTAAAAGTACGCGGTAGTGCTGAAACAATCTGCTGAGGACTTGAAGTGAATTTTGAAAAAAAAAAAAAAACATTTAATTCATAAAAATGTGCGTTCCAACCTCACAAATGTATGTTCTTGATGTGTTTTTCTGTTATGTATATGTTTTGGAGTTCACACAACAACCATTGTTCTTAAGCTGTCAAAACCATTTTTTGGTAAAATAAAAATAATCTTTATCTTGTATTTATTTATAAAGACAAACACTCAGATTAAATAGCTAAATCTGTGACTCCTTCAATAGGAATGGCTGGTGCAACGCAATAATTCCTAAAAAACAGCACAAACTTGTCTTTTCGTCACAGAAACTGAAATGTGTCAATGAAAAGGTGCAACTGTTTCAGTCCTGCTGGGTCACAGTTCCCATTTGAAATATTCAGTTTCTAGTTACTTCAGTTAATAGAAGCCCAAATTTTGCATTGTGTCACAGAAATAATGAACATATCTGAAAAATTTGCACAGCAAATTTACTCTCTGAACAATCCCAGAGTTGTCTGGGGGCATCTTGAACTCGTTGGGACTCCTTCTCAATTTAATTCCCCTAAACTAATATGTGAGAATGTTGCAAGCCATGAAATCAAACTGTGACTATTTGAGGCAAGAAAAACAAACTTGCATAAAACAGGAGGGAACAACTCAGGAAACACAGGGAAACACGAGAGGAGCTAGACTGGAATGAGACATCTGACTGGGAGTCCAGACAGTGAGGCGGTGACGAGTTGTGGTTTAAAGAACAAGCTGGAGTGAAAGTGGAATCACCTGGTTGGGAACACTGAGGAGGTTACTGGGGGTAAATGGAATATGGCACTCGAAAAACTGATAAACAAAATGGGATCTAAACCAGAATATTCCAATTAAAACTCTAATATTGGACATACAATGAACACAAGAACTGAACAAACAAAACCGAACCCAACGGTCAAAACAAAAGTCAACAGGAGTTAAACGAGGAACTAAAATCACAAAAAGCACAGATTACAACGCAGTCTGAATTTGACAAATCCAGTTCTATTTCATATAGGCTTCGCCCTTTAAGGCTGTCGCTGATGGTTTATCCCGTTATGCAGAGCATAAGCACTGAAAAAAAATTAGTCCACGCCCACCTGCTGTGTGGGCCCACCCGGTCCGTATAAATTACGTTAAGAGCGGGAAATCGGCTCCCAAAATAGCTTTTTCTTCAGCCATTTAGGAGCCAGTGAGGCCCGACGCTTAAAGGGCTACGCCTATATTCATAGAATCTGGGGTTACAGTACGTAACCAACGTTTTTTCTAATACGAACCGGCTCTTTTTTATATGACACAACGTTGCTGGTAAAATCATACATATTTGATGTTTTTCAAAGTGACCTTAGCCTGACTCGTCATGTTGCATTTTATCTGACTTGTACATCAGTGAGGCAGGGGTATGTGGCTCTATCCCAAGGATTGACATTATTGATACCAACATCATGCTGTTTAAACCTTGAAAATCCACTTATCTTTAGCTACAGAAGAAAAGTCCAGTTGCTTCGTATTTTTGTCCCCCATAGTGGAGAGAAAGTGGGGGTTTTGAAATACCCTCCCTCCATGTGTGCATGATGTGACTTAAAAAGCAAGTGAGGTACCAACTTCCATTTTATTTTGTGGTTACATCTAGGTGTAAAAAACTTTCCTTTTGAAATTTGGGTTGCCATGTCATAATTTAAACTATGCTTTCTATGTTTAAATATTGCCTAAAAGTATAGTTTCCTCAAATGTTTGGGTGGCTGAAGAGTGAAGTGTAATTGGTTAAGACCACTGGTGGCCACTTGCTGGTTCCACCATTGTTCCTGGTCGTGAATAAAGTTGACTCTTCCACTTGCCAGGATCTGTCGCTCTGTGCCGCCTCAGACAATCAAAAAGAAAAGTCCATCTCTGTTCTTATACACAGTATGACTCCTACCCACTTATATTGTACCAAAAAACATTAAGGTTCACTAACATTCCCTGTTTAATTCCAGACCAGAAAAACACTCATCTTACAAGCATCTGTGATTCAAATCCCTCAGCAAAAGGGGACATCAGCATATCACTGACTTCTTTTAATTTGTCCTGTCCTGGGTGACTCTGGATCTACAGCAACATATGATACCAACAGTCATGTCAGGTGTATCAATACTAATGTGATGAGATCAATACTTGAATTTGTTTCTACTTTCAGTATGTCGCTCTTGTTCCATAAATACAATGCTGCATCAGAGTAGCTGAGAAGAGGTAAGATCAAATACAAACACTGGGTCAAACGCTCATGTCAGATAATAATAGAATCGGTTCTGATTGCGCAACACCTTCAGAATACACACATGCTAACATGTGTAGCATCCATCCATCATCTTTTACCCACTTCTTCCATTTTGGGTCACAGGGGTCGCCGGTGCCCATGTCCAGCAATCACTGTGCGAGGGGCAGGGGACACCCTGGACGGGTCTCCAGTCCATCACAGGGACACATCGAGACAAACGAGACAAACAACCATTCACTCTCTCTCACTCACACCTAGGGACAATTTAGAGTTACCAATCAGCCTAACATGCATGTTTTTGGTCTGTGGGAGGAAACTGGAGTACCCGGAGAAAACCCACGCATGCACGGAGAGAACATGCAAACTCCACCCAGAAAGGCCCCTGGACCGGGATTTGAACCAGCAACCTTCTCGCTTAGAGGCAGCAGCTCTACCAGTTGCGCCACCGTGCTGCCCTAACATGTGTAGCATTCATCTTTTATTCCTTAAACACAGCATGCTGTGTGTGACATTATGTCTTCTACACGTTCAAGTTCCATGAAGGCCATAGAGGATTCTCACAGGAGACTGATGGAGGTCACGTTTAAATTATAATGTGAACCACATCCAAAATTATTCATGCAAAAAGAAAAAAAAGGCAAAACTGTGTGCAGGTGCTCTAAGACCCTGTTTACATAACACAGTTTTTGAGTGAAACTGCAGCTTTTCTGCCACTGTTTGGCTGTTCGTGTACACAGCAACAGCCCTCATTCTCTCAGAGTGGAGGTTTTTTGGGTACCCCCCAAAGAGGTCTGAAACTGCACATACACACTACAGGTGGGTGCAGTCAACAATATTTCTGCATAAAACAGTTACAACTAGAAGTACTCGGAGACCTCCACCAAGACCCTAGGGTCACTCACACAGTAGCTTCATGTGCGTAGACAGACAATCCTTAAAATATCCCAGGATCTGGATGGTGCTCTGGATCACCACCAAAACAGCACAAAGCTGTAAATGCTGTGTGTTCAGAGCAGCACACACCTGCAGAAATTAAGAAAATATGGTCAGACATAGTAGCTTAGTTAATTCAATTCAATTCAAAAATAATTTATTAATCCCATAGGAAAATTAAATAATAATAATATTAATAACTTTTATTTATAATGCACTTTACATTCACAGTGAATCTCAAAGTGCTACAAAGAGTGAACATCAGATAGCAGCAGGATAAAAGCAACCATAAAAGCAACCGAGAGCAAAACAACCAGGAGGATAACGCCTCAGAATGAACACATAAAAAAAAAAAAAAAAAAAATTAAAATGCACAAAATGCAGATAAAAAACTCAAATAAGAACTATGGGTGAATTAAAAAAAAAAAGTACAGTGCAATCAATTAAAAAACTGGGTAAAAAGAAAGGTTTTAAGACCCTTTTTAAAACATGTCACGGTCTGTGGAGCCCTCAGATATGAAGGCAGGGCGTTCCACAGCCGAGGGGCAGCGCAGGAGAAAGCCCGGTCTCCTGTTGTGCGGGACCGAGACCTGGGAGTGAGAAGAAGATGAACGTTGGAAGAGCGGAGAGTGCGTGAAGGACAATGAGGGGTGAGAAGTTCTTTTAAATAAGATGGTGCATTACCGTACAAGCATTGGAAGGTGAGCAGATAAATTTTGTAAGCGATCCGGGCAGAAACAGGAAGTCAGTGAAGAGAACGGAGTACAGGGGTGGTGTGCTCATGCTTACGCACTCTCATCAGGACCCTGGCAGCGCTGTTCTGGACATACTGTAGTTTCTGTATGTTCTTGCCAGGAATCCCAATGAGAAGTGCATTGCAGTAGTCCCGTCTGGAGGAGACAAAGGCATGGACGAGCTTTTCTGTATCGGTGAAGGACAGTGTAGACCAAAGCTTTGCAATATTTCGAAGATGTGTAGACCAAAGCTTTGCAATATTTCGAAGATGAAAAAAAGAAGTTTTACATATATGCCTTATATGGCTTTCAAAGGTGAGTTGTGAATCAAAAATAACACCAAGATTGGTAACTGTATTGGAAAGAGATACTGAGGATTTTTTGTTGTTGAATTTGGTGTGAAGTACCAATTTGAATTGCTTCTGTTTTTGAACTGTTAAGGTGAAGGAAATGTTGCTGCATCCATGCCTTTATCTCCTCCAGACAAGCTGTGAGTGTGGAAAGAGAAGAAAGTGGAGAAAATGGAGAAGCAGAAGATGATGTAGATGGGGTCTCAGACGCATTGCTACCCAGCTTAAGATACAGCTGAGTATCATCAGCATAGCAATGGAAAGGGGCCCCCGTAGCTGCTGATAATACACCCAAGTGGTACCATGTACAAGTTGAAAAGAAGGGGTCCCAGGACTGATCCCTGGGGCACACCACAAGAAACAGGATGGCTCAATGACTTGGCATGCCCAATGGAGACAAACTCTGTTCTGTCCGTCAGGTATGATCAGAACCACTCCAGGGCAGTGCCAGTGAGCCCTGCAAAATGCTGTAAA